TACTCAGATAAACAATCAAACAGTGTTAGGGTAGAATAAAGACATTTTCAGGTATGCAAGGACTCCAAATTTACCTTCCACATACCCTTTTTAGGAAGTTACTGGAGAGATATTATCCACAAATAGAGGAAGTGAATTAAGAACGAGGAAGACACAGACCTATAAAATGGGGTCCATCCAGGAAATCACAGAACAAAGTCCCAGGGTGACAGTAGAGCAGTGTTCCCAGGTAGTTGAAAAGGGTGAGGTAAAAGACTTGACACTGTCCTTGGAACAACTTAAGTAAGTGGTCAAGGCAGAGAAACCTAAGGGGGGGCTGGGGTAGAAGGGAAGACGAAAAGGCCAGGGTAGGGGGAGGTTGTTCAAGACAGGGGAGCAGTTATTAATGATGATTATGGCTAGGAGGATGATAACCAAGGGATTTTTAATTCAAAATGGCAGACTAATCACACATCTCCTCTCTGTCTTGAGATCTGAATTAAATAGATAGTAAATGACTTATAGTATAAACCACAGTTTTGAAGAGAAATGGAGGGGTTCCATCAATAGACCAAAGTGTTCAGCTTATTTCTGGAAGGCAGAAAGTTGATGGAGGGATTTCTGATCAAGATGCTTATCAAACACAAGCAACTACTGTTACATGTTCCTAAAACCCCACCAAAACATATTTTTGATGGCATAAAACCAGGTAATCCCACTGTATCACCCACAAGGTAGGATGTGTCCAATTTGGTTTGTGCATGTAGGGTCAGTTCTGCCTCAGCTCCCGTGACTTCAGGCATCAGTGGATCTCACACGCCAGGGAGATGGAACAGTGCCAAGGGGGCAAGAAGAGCTGCAAGGATTGCTCTGTTCTGGTCCCGTTCCTGAGGCCCCTGGAGTAAATCAGAAAGCTGCTTGGAGCCCTGCTGATCTCTTTTGTAAAACGGGACTAATAACATCTGTCCTAGCTCCTTCAAGGGTGTGGTTGCTGGATCAAAATGAGGCCAGAAGGAAGCAGAAACTATATGTCCTCGGGGCACCTGGGTGGCTCAGTCAGTTAAGCGTCTGCCTTGGCTCCGGTCATGATCTCCTATGGGTCCTGGGATTGAGCCCTGTGTCAGGCTTCCTGCTCAGCAGGGAGTCTGCTTCTCTTTCTCTCTCTCTCTCTCTCTCTCTCTCCCCCTCTGCCCCTTCCCACCACTCGTTCTCTCTCTCTCAAATAAATAAAATCTTAAAAAAAAAAAGAAAAGTATATATCCTCATCCTCAAATCTAGAGTGTGAAAGCCATCCATCTCCCTTTAACATTCAAGTTACAATGAAGGCATGGGCATGCCTGCCTAGATTGCAGGCTCTGCCATCCCATCACATCTTCACCTTACCCCACAATTCCACCAGCAACGCTGAAAAGGATCAGTCCTCAGAGCGTGTAGGATGGACAGTGACATGGATGGGGTGGGACACTGTCTGCTGACCACAGGACCTTACCCATAGTGCATAATATGATTTGTTCACACCAATCCTTCCTTAACATTTCACTTGGCAGGGTGCCCAGGCCCAAATCGACCTAGACTCTCATTCTCCTTATGAAAGCCCTTGGCCCCAGGTATGTTGGTGGCGCCAGGATCGTGGTGGCCAGAGATAATTTTCCAGCATCAGGCTCCTCCTGCCTACCAGCCCTAGCACAGCCACTAGGGCAACAGAAGCAATCTTCCAGGTGAATTGAATCTCAGGGCTTCATCATCCTTTTTTCTTTCTCTCTTTCCTTTTTTTTTTGTTCAGTCCTGCCTCTCTCTATCCATCCAACATAGCAGGTTTCAATACCCTGCTGATAGGTGTAGTAGAGTGAATAATGGCCCCCCAGAGACATCCTTGTCTCTGGAATCTATGAATATGTTACTTTATATCACAAAAGGAACTTTGCATATGTGATTAAACTAAAGATCTTCAGATGGGAGATTATTCTGGATTATCTGAGTGGGCCCAATATAATCACAAAGGTCCTTATAAGAGTGAGGCAGGAGGATCAAAGGGAGATAAGGAAGCAGAGGGAGAAAAAGACATGTGACAACAGCAGCAGAGTTGAGAGAGAGAGAGAGAGAGCTTGAGAATGGAAGTCAGAGTAAGGACCACAAGCCAAAAAAGGTAGTTAGCCTCTAGAAACTGGAAAAGCCAACAATTGGGACATCTGACCTCCAAAACTCTAAAAGAATACATTTGTGTTCTTTTAAGTCACTAAGTTTATGGTAATTTGTTACAAGTAGCAAAAGGAAATTAATAGAGTGAAAATTAGATCATCTGCTTTGGAAAAACTATTTTGCAATATCTGCAGAATTTGAACATATATGGATGTATGTATGTTTCATAGGTATGTACCCAACAAAAATGCGTATATACGTTCACCAAAGACATCTACTATAATGTTCCTAGCAGCATTATTTATAACGTCTCAAACCTGAGAATTACCCAAATGTCTATCAGTAGTATAATGAATAAATTTAGGTAAATTCACACAGCGGAATTCTACACAGGAAAAAAAAAAAAAAGAACAAACTATGACCACTATGACCATAGGCAGTTTGCATCTCTTAAATATAATGTCAAGTGAAGGAAGTCAGACAACAGAGTAAATTCGGTACGATTTGACTGTTATAAAGTGCAAATATAAGCAAAAACTCTATGCTGGGTGAAGCCACTACCCTACCCCCCCCTCCAAAGGGAGGATATGAGGGAGTCTTCTGGGGAGCTGCTAATGTTCTGTCCCTTGATCTTAAAGATGCTTCATTTTGCACAGTATCATTGAACCTGTGAAATGGGCACCTTTTAATATGTACTATACATAAATAAAAACTTTTTTTTAATGGAGGAAAGGAGACCTATGCCTTCCTCCAAATTTGCCTCCTTGGGACCCTCCAATCTCCCCTCAAAAATGGGTGGGGGTACACAGTAATCCAGATCCAGGATTCCAACTCCCTTAGAGCCCAACTCTGGGTTAAAATATCCTGTGACTTTGCTTTACCTATTTTTACCAAAGGGCCCATTTCAGCGGGTTATTTTCCTAAATAAAAGAAGCTTGCCCAGAGATAAGTTTACTTTCCCCCTTTGAGGACTCAAAACTACAAACTAGTTTTGATTGACATTAACCGAACAACGACAACAAAATGGTAATAGTCTTTTCTCCACCCAGACGACCCCTGATAAATGAAGAGTTAAAACCACTGCAGCACAGTTTAACACATAAAATAGACATTTTGTTAAATTTTGAAGTGTTATATTAATGTTTTAATAATAGTGTAATAAAGTTTAAAAAATAGTGTAATAAAGTTATAAACTCAAAAGAAAAACAAGAACGGTTGCTCCCACCAACACCCCAACCTGAAGGGAGACTCAGGCTCTACCTAAAGCGGGTAGAGGGAGGAGAAGGAGGAAGAAGGAGCCGTGGGAGACAGACACATGGACCAGTCTGGTCGATTATGAACTGGAGGGAGAGATGCAGGTATGGCCAGGGGGGAAACCAGAAGCCGGGATGTAGGGGTGGCGGTCTCGGGACAATGGAGAAGACCCTATCGCCCCGGCTCTGGGCAAAGCCGACCCCGCCAAAGCGCCGCGGCTGCGGTGAGGGGCGTGTGTGGTTGTGGGCGGGGGGCTACTTGTGGGGACACTGGGCGGAGCTTCAGAGACAGCCTTTGAAGGTCCTAGGGTCCGAACAGACTTTGGCCCCGCCGCCCCCACCTGCCGAGCAGCTGGGAACCCGCGCGTCACTCCCAGCAGAAACGCCGCACCGCCCGGGCGTCTGGCGAGGTGCGCGCCTCCCGGCCCCGGCTTCGACTCTCCGCGGCTCCCGGCCCGCCGCCCGCCTCTCTGGGCTGAGCAGGGGCGGGGACAGGACAGCACCTACCGGGATCCGCGACTCCAACCGCCGAGGAGCCCCCGAAGACAAGCCAGCCCGGACGGCACCCTGGAGACTGGCGCGGAGGGTCCGAGCCTACCCGTGGGTGGGAGGCGCCGACGCCGACTTGACAGCGCGTCCCAGGTTCGTGTGCGACGGCGTCTCTGCATGCTGCACGTGGAGAAACTTTGGTTCGCCGTGTTGGCTGCCGGGAGGAAGTTATGGAGGGCGCTGCCCGGGGCCCCGCGGCCTCCGTGCGCCCCGGCAGGTACGCTCAGGCCCTGGGAGCCCGCACCTCCCGCGCACCCTGACACTGCGGTGTCCTGAGCGGGGACCGAGACCCGCCGTCAACTGAGGGCTGCTGGGGGACAGGGGCCTCTCCAGACTCCTCCAGAGCCTACTCTCGCGTCTCCCGCAATCCCTGTCTGTTCTCGGCTCGGGCTTTGCAGCGGCTGGGGCTTACAACCCCGCGGGGATAGTGTTTCGTCTCCTGCTCGGCCTTGCAGCGCGGGAGAGTGGATAGGGGCAGCCCGGCGACTGCGGGATGTCGGGGAGCATCCGGGCAGGGGCTCGCGGGCGCGGGTTAGCGCCGCAGCGGGAACGGCGCGCGCGAGGCCGCAGGAGCGCGCGGGTCTGGGGGTCCGACTAGCGCGCGTCTCCGCAGGTGCCTCCGGCCGCCGGGAGGCGGGAGGTACTGGCTGGGCGCGGGAGGCGGGCTGGGGGCTGCGGAGCCGTTTGCGGTCACTGGCTGGACAAATAGGAGCCACACGGGGGCGGGCAGCCCGGTCCCGGCGTCTCTCGGGCGCGCACCGCCTTGGCACCCGGACCCCGAGCCCCCTTACAGGAGGTCCGGGGTCCAGAGGTGCCCCTGCCCCTGCCCGGGAATGGCTGCAATGGCTGCTCCCCTCGGACGCGCCCATTTCCCAAGGGAGGGCCGTGTGTTCCGGGCTGGCGGTGCGGGGACGGCTCCGCTGCGGCTCTGGGCAGAACCCCTTTCACGTGGATGGCGATCGCCTCAGCTCGCCGGCTGCCTGTCTTGTCTCAGAGACGAGGCGACAGAACGCACACCCCGCCCCCATCGGTGCCCCGGCGCTGTCGCCCCAGTCACCTTCCTTTGCCCTTCTCCGACAGCACCACGGGCTCGCTCGCTCTCGCTCTCAGGAAAAACTGAGGCACCAAGCTTGGTTCCCGGAGCCAGCGGGGACTGTGGAGACACTGCCAGAATCCTCAACGGCTTGGAAATCCTATCACCTTGGTTCCCTGAGACTTGGAGGTATAGGTTTGTGTGTCTGTGTGTGTGCTGGGAGGGGTGTCTGCTGAGAGAGGTGGGGGTGTAGCCGCCGGGGGGGACCCAGCCCAGAGGCCTAGGGGACATACAAGTAACTAAAAGACACCAGCCCTTTTTTGGCTTTGTGTGGGGAAACATAGGAAACCTTACCAGCTACTCACTCCTTCCCTTGGGCAGTTTCGAAATATTTCTTCCAAGCTGGTGCCAGAGAAGAACACTTTCCTGGCAAGTCATTACATTTCCTGGGACAATCTCTGGCACATCTTTTGTTCTGGCTTTGGCCCTTCGCTTGCATGGCAAGAAGACACATGTTTTGCTTCAATTCTAAGTGCCACTAGCCCCCACATCCTGGCGTTGAGCTGCCCACTGTACCTCTGGATTTTTTCAGACCTGTCTGGGAAGGGTGGGACTGCAAACCTCCAGTGCCTGGCCCATTCTAACTCAAGTCTGTACTCTTCTCCAGACCTGTGGGCTCCTTCATGCCTCTCTAGGCCATGGCAGTCATCTCTGCCCTTAGCTCCTCCGGGAGAGTTGAGCAGCAGGCACCCTAGAAGTGACGATGTAGACAGCCAGCCTGGTAAGAGCCTGAGGCAGGGGTTGACAGCAAGTAGGAAGTGAGACTAGAATGAGGAAGGATGAGTTTGTCACAGATTTTCTCCAAGTCTGCATAGGAAGCATCCCCTATTGACTATGTGGGAGTGGAGCCTGAAATCTTACTTTTAAGAAGCTCTCCGGGTGATTATGCCCACAGAAGCTGGAAAACCCATCGGTGTAGGCACTTTGGCCTCCATTGTCAGACCTCATCAGCCCAGGATTCATATGTAGTGATGCATGTTTAGAAACTGACATTTATTTAATTCCTAAATGGCAAGTATATTAGGATCTTCTAAAATTCTCACAATCATCTTCTGTAGATATTATCCCCATTTTAGGATGAGGAAACGGAATCTCAGAGGATCAGTTTCCCAAGGGTTGGTAACTTGGGAATAAACAGAGCCCCAGTCTCTGATACATATAGCCTGCTGCCCCTTCTGAGCATGCGCTGGTCCCCTTGTGCGCAGCACAAAGACAGGACGACCTTGGGGCAAGAGAGAGGGGCTGAATCTCCAGCTTGAAATCCATTTGTTAATTTCCACCCCCCTTGCTGCCCTCTCCCACCCGGGCCCTTTATGGGAGGGAACACCAATCCTATTTGGAGGTGGAGTACGAATCTCAAAGGAAAATAACATTTCTCTCTGCATGCAAGGAAAATGGGGTGGCTTGGAGAGAAAGAGCCACAGGGAAGGCCAAGCCTGTCATCTGCAAGAAGGCTTTTAAAATACCTCAGCTCATGTGGCACTACCATTGTTGATACCACTCAAATCAGGTACTCAAAACAGAACCCTACTCTGTGGGAAGCTGGTATCCAAGAAGCAAGGAAACATTAGAGAAACAAGAGAAAGGACATAGGAAGATCTAATTAAGTCCTGGTGAGCAGGCGAATAAGGGGAGTGACTGGGAGTTCTCCCACCCTTCCTTCCTAGGCCTCCTCAGCTGCCGTGGACTGGGGTGGGGTGGGGGAAGGCTGGACCAGGTGAGTGCTGCGCCCCTCTAAACCCCAGCATCCTTGCAGGGCAAGCCTTGGCCTGTATACACAGGACTGCAGTGCATGGGATCCACTCCAGACGCTTTTACTCATAATCACTGAAATATAATTAACTGAACAAACACTGTAGGGATGTCTTAACAAGGAATTAAAAAACTAGACTCCGAATGGGAGAGATGTGTGGAACAAATTATTGGTATTTATGTAACTCTGAATAGCTTTGATTTCCTTCAGTAGGAACTGACAGCTGGCTGACAAAAAAAAAAAAAAACCTCATCCACGGAGAGAAAAGACATAAGTGAAGTATGAAATTTTGAATAACGTTTTCAGGTAACTTTCTATTTCCATTCAGAGTGGGTGTCTGGAGGGGCGAATGTAGTTATTTGAATTGCTTCATTTATCAACAGAGATTTTTAACAGGGCTCATAATTCTAAGACCCAGTGCTTTTTTCCTTCTTTTTTCCTGGCTTCTAGTCTCCTGCTAGCAGGGCAGAGGTCTGGGAATTCCACCATTCAGCCTGTAAACTCTCACTTTATCACCTATTTTTAGCATTTCTGATGGATCTGTTCAGAGCATAAATCTTGTTTTCTTGCCTAGGATAGTGGTTGTCTACTTGGGGTGGGGAAGAGTACCTGGGGGTCCAGTAGATTTGTCCAGAGACTTTGAACCACCCTCGCTGTCAGCCCTGCACCCCATTGCCACTTTCTGTGCTACGTGGGGCCTCTCAGCACTAAACTTCCCAGGGCCTGTGGGTCAGCTGGCTCCCCTGTCATGGGGCCACCTCCTGGGAGCTTTATGGTACAGCCTCTGCTATGCTAAGGCAGTTTACCACACCGCCATCCCCACTCTGTTTCCAAAGCTTGTCTGAAATCACTCATCTGATGATGCATCTCTCCTGCAAGTTTTTGTTCTTCAGAGTATATATTTTTTTTAATTTTTAAGTAACTAAACTGTAATTTCAGTGAAGTCTCGGGAGTAGAGAGAGGCACTAAAAGAGTATAGTAAATATGCCATGATGAATCATAAGTGATGTTAAAGACATTCTAATTTTAAAATAAAAAGCAATTTGTCCAGCTGCTTAATAATTATAATATGCTGAAACTATTGTATTTGGAAATTATAAGGAAAATACATTTAAGCCTATCTTTTTTCCATATTCATTTAATAGATTCCATTTATGTTTACAAAGCATTATTTACAGATCTTTAAAAAATTTTTTAATATTTTATGTTATTTAAGTAGCCTGTGAATTAGAGACATGATAAAAATAAAAGAAGCCTAAATTCTGAGATAAAATTTTTAAGAAGAATACACTGCCTAGTGAGGCACAATAGGAAAGTGTTTTTCTAGACATCTGATTTCATCACCTCATCCCACCTCCTCCCCACCTTGAGTGAAGGTTAGATCCTTGTCATGTTACAGAGGAGGGACCCAAGACTGAGAGAGCTGCCTGTGGTATACAGCTTGTAAATAGGGGAATCAGGATGGAAATGGGCGTCTTTCTGAATCCCGACCTTTCTCCAGTTGAACTGCTATCTGTTTGGCAGGTGTAACTGAATGTGGGGGTTATTTATATGCTATATTATAACAAAGGGTCTGATTGAATGTTAACACAGTATCAGCAGTGGGTACTCAGTGAGGCTGTTTCACAGAATGAGACAGGAAGCAAGAACATTCCTGAACTAGGATAATTGTAGGCTAGAGAAGTGATCTTCGTCACAGGTAGGGCTTAGCTCTATGAAGAGTAGATAAATAGAGCTTCAGTTTCAGCATTTTTTGATGTGCAAATGGATGACCATGATAAAAGAATTGAAAGAGAGTAAAGGCATAAAGACAAGGGGATTGTTCCAGTAAGGAACTGAGTATGAGACACTAGGAAAACAAACATATATACATGTGGCCAATAAAGTATCTGACAGCTGTTTTTCTCTGTGAACTTTAATTTTAAACAATTTTAGAATTGTTCTATTAAATGTGAACAATTTAAAAAGTGAGCAACCCAAGGGGTTTTAGAAGTCTTTAAAATGAACCAAGGGGGCGCCTGGGTGGCTCAGTCGTTAAGCGTCTGCCTTCGGCTCAGGTCATGATCCCAGGGTCCTGGGATCGAGCCCCACATCGGGCTCCCTTCTCCGCGGGAAGCCTGCTTCTCCCTCTCCCACTCCCCCTGCTTGTGGTCCCTCTCTCGCTGTGTCTCTCTCTGTCAAATAAAATCTTAAAAACAAAAATCTTTAAAAAAACAAACAAGGGGCGCCTGGGTGGCTCAGATGGTTAAGTGTCTGCCTTTGGCTCAGGTCATGATCCCAGGGTCCTGGGATGGAGTTCCGCATTGGGCTCCCTGCTCAGCGGGGAGCCTGCTTCTCCCTCTCTCTCTCTCTGTCTCTGTCTCTCATGAATAAATAAATAAAATCTTTAAAAAAAATAAAATAAAATAAAAAAATAAAAATAAAAAAGCAAACAAAATAAAATAAAATAAAATGAACCAAGAGTAAGGCTTTGTTGTGGCTGGTTTTTTTTCTAGACAGTTCTAGAGGGGGTATGCCTACATCCACGAGACAGATTCAGTAGTTGCCAATAGCTAGTGGTGCCATTTCCCAGCTTCTTCAGAAAGCCCTGGAGCCCACAGCAACAGCCCTTTCCACAGGACCACAGTGGGGCCACTGCCCCCCTCAAGCAGCCGAGCTGGCAGTACCTTGCCAGTTCCCCTTCTTTTCCCAGAACCTTCTGATGCTAATCTTGGTGAGAGAAAGTTATGACAGAAAGTGGTCAGGTTTAGTGTTGTAGAGAAAGCCTTTACATGAGGGTGGGTGAAAAGATTTGAAAGTCTTTCCAAAAGATTCTTATAAGACTTTTTTAAAAAACAAACAAACAAACAAGCAAGCAAGACTGGCCCCAAAACTAGAAACTATATGAGACTACAGTATTGAAATCTACAGGGCGCCTGGGTTGCTCAGTTGGTTAAGTGTCTGCCTTCAGCTCAGGGTCCTGGGATTGAGCCCCGTGTTGGGCGGGGAGCCTGCTTCTCCCTCTCCCTTTGCTGCTCCCCCTGTTTGTGCTCTCTCTCTCTCTTTCTCTCTCCCTGTCAAATAAATAAATAAAATCTTAAAAAAAAAAAAAAGGAAAGAAATCTGCTATCTGGCAACTTGTTCTCATTTGAATATGTTTCTCAAATGCCACTATGGTCAAAGGTGTTTTTATGTGATTGATACTGTATCTTTTCTCCAACTGTGGTTACTAAATGATTTCTATATTTGATATTATGTTCCAGCTAATTTCTCTACATCTCTTTGCTTTATTAAACACGTTAGTACTGGGGCACCTGTGTGGCTCAGTCATTAAGCATCTGCCTTCGGCTCAGGTCATGATCCCAGGGTCCTGGGATCGAGCCCCGCATCGGGCTCCCTGCTTGGCGGGAGGCCTGCTTCTCCCTCTCCCACCCCCCTGCTTGTGTTCCCTCTCTCGCTGTGTCTCTCTGTGAAATAAATAAAATCTTAAAAAAAAATAAAAATAAAAAAATAATAAGCACATTTCCTATATGAAAAATGCTAAAAGAAGGTTTCTTTTGCGAACTCTTTTCAGATGCTTTGCATTCAGAATAGACCTCTGTTGGGACCCAAGCTGTGAACCAATCCTAAATTCCTAAGGTCCCAAATTGCAGGTGTGCCTGGCTTTGGAATAGCTTTTATAGAATGTTGCACAGGGGGACAAAAAACGCAGCATTCACTTTCATTGTATTTATGTATGTATATATTGAATAGTTCTTTGCTTAACATCATGAGTGATACTAAAGTAGAATGAGTAAGTATATTCTTTTGAATACTGCCTTTCAGGAGCTCACTAGTTGAAAGTCCTTGAAAGTCTAGGCATAAATACTATTGATAATACCACAAAACTGAATGATGTTGTAAAAAGTTACAACCTCATATGGCTCTTTTAAATTTTAATTATGGAATGGGGCACCTGGGTGGCTCAGTCTGCCTTCAGCTCAGGTCATGATCCCAGGGGCCTGAGATCAAGCCCCACATGGAGCTCCCTGCTCAGCGAGGAGTCTGCTTCTCCCTCTCCCTCCGCCCCTCCCCTCTCCTCATGCTCTCTCAGAGGCTCTCTCTCTCTCAAATAAATAAAATCTTAAAAAAATATATAGGTACTGTGTTAAAAAGGAACAGAGACGCAGTCAGGACAAAGCACGTAGAGATAAGAACTGAGGGCAGGGTCACCTGGGCATTTGGTTCTCAGTTAATAAGATAGTAAAATGACAGTATGATCTCAGAGATGATGTGCACATCCATCATCCTGACCCCTCACCATCTTCCTGGAGATATTTTGTACTTCTTCTCTAAGATGATCTCCAGCCTCTGGTATCTTGTTTCCTCTTTCTTCTTCTACCATTTCATCTTTGTAGATTATATCCTTCAGTACATTTTCTTAAGAGTCTCTCAATCCTTGGGGTGCCTGAGTGGCACAGTGAGTAAAGTATCTCACGCTTGATTTCACTTTAGTTCATGATCTCAGGGTCATGAGATCGAGCCTGGCTTTGGGCTCCTTGCTTAGCATGGAGTCTGCTTGAGAATCTCTCTCCCTCTCCCTCTGGCCCTCCTGCTCGTGCATGCTCTCTCTCTCTCTAAAAATAAATAAATCTTAAAAAAGAAAAAAAAGAGTATCTCAATTCTTGACTGATGGTTTGGCTAGATATAGAATTCTAAGCTGGGAGTCATTTTTCCTTCAGATTTTAAAAGACATTTCTCCATTGTCTTTTACTGTTGTTGATATATCTGAATCCACTGTAATTCTTGATCCTTTAGCATGTGACTTATGTACCCAACTCCCCACTTGCCCCCAAGCTTGTGGAATCTTCTTTATTCTCAGTGTTCCTTGAACTTACAGCCATGTGCCATGGGTCTGTTTTCATCTATTGTGCTATGTTCTAATTGGACCCTTTCAATTTGGAAACTGGTGTCACTCATGACATTTTTCTTGATCTCAGTCATCATTTCCTTTCCTGCTTGCCCCTTCTTCCACCCCACTATTTTGTCTTGCCAGAGCTTCTAGTAGTTGAATGTTCAACTTCTAGTAGTTGAATTTCCTAGTGTAGACCTCTAATTTTCTTTTTTTCCCCTCTATTCTTTTTGTTTAACTGTTAGAGATTTTATCAACATTGTCATCTAACCCTTCTATTGAGTTTTGCAGTTTGTATGCTGTTTTTACCTTTTGAGAATGCTTTTTATGGTCTCTGAATATTCTTTTTCCTAGAATTTTATTTTTGTTTCATGGTTACAACATCTTATATCTAAAGATAATGAGCTTTTGCAGTTTTCATCTTCCCAACTAATATCTGTCTCGTCCAAGTTGCTTTTTTTCTATGTGTTCTGGTCTCTAATGTAAGAGGCTTTTCTATTTTGTTTTGTTTTTTATTTTGATTATCTGCTCATGATTAAAGGGCTTGGATTGAAAAGCTGATGAGAAGCCTTGAGCACATGGGTGAGGCTTATAATCCTTAAACGTCACTGTAGGATGATCTGGGTGGCATGTTAGGGAATCCCTGTGGTTAGTACTCTTAGGTATTTTCTTTTGAGCGGGTCAGATTATTGAGAGAAGAGTACAGCAGTATTCTGTTGCATAATAAGGGTACAGCTGCCAGCCTTGTTGGAGTTGAGTTGGGGAGAAGGCTCTGAGTCTCTTCATTCAGTGATCAGTGAGCATTCAGTCACTTATTCCCTGTTTTCTTGTCCCCAAATATGTCAGGTGTCTTCCAGTCCAGAGACCCTCCATTTCACCATTTCTGGAGAATAAAGGTCTGGACATCTCACGTGGGAGGGCTAATATCCTATCTCCTAGTGGCTTGGAGTGGAGGAATGACCTGAGGCGGTCAAATTTTAATGCACATACAAATCACCTGAGGATCTAATTAAAATGTAGGCTCTGATTCAGTAGGTCTGGGACAGAGCCTGAGATTAAGCTTCAGGTAATGGCGGTGCTGCTGCTGGTCCAAGGTAGGATCACTTTGGCTGACAAGGACCTAGGGACCTAACTGCTTCTCCTGACAGCTTTTCACCTAGTCCTCATTATTTTAGCTATACTCCCCACCACCACCACCACCACCTGCACAGTTCTAGAACTTCTGCTGTTACTGCCTCTTGTGAGGATTCTGCAGTGTCCATGGGCTGAGTTCTCAGCTTTATCATGAATGATCTGAGGTATAGCCTTCTCAGGTTGGATAAGTTGGTTAACACTGGCCCATCTGCTTTCTGGCTTCCAAAATGTTGCCATTGTCTCCTTTTCCTGCTATCCTTGTGAAGTTGTGTCCTTTAAAAAATTCTTGGGGCACCTGGCTGGCTCGGTCAGTGGAATGTGTGACTCTTGATCTCAGGGTTGTGAGCTGGAACCCCATGTTGGGTGTAGAGATTACTTAAAAAATAAAATCTTGAGGCGTGGGTGGCTCCGTTGGTTAAGTGTCTGCCTTTGACTCAGGTCATGATACCAGAGTCCTGGGATCGAGCCCCGCATCCAGCTCCCTGTTCAGTGGGGGGGTCTGCTTCTCCCTCTCCCTCTGCCCCTCCTCCTTGCTTGTGTTCTCTCTCTCTCAAATAAATAAATAAAATCTTTTAAAAAATAAAATCTTAAAAAATAAAATTAAAACTTCTTTTGTTTCAGGGGATTGTTCGGGAAGAGGCAAGATTAAATGTGTGTGTTCTGCCATATTTACCCTAACTATAACCATCTGCTAAAATATTTTTCTAAAGTTTGGTTATATCAGCATAAATAGAGCCTGATTTATGATAAATAACTGCTATTTTAAGCCTCTAGGTTTTTGCACAAGGAGCATTCTCTACTTCTCTCTTCCTACTTTATCTGCCTACCAGACTCTTATGCAGTCTTTAAGACCCAGCTCAAATGGCTGGCCTCTGTGAAGCCCCTCAGTCCCCAAGCCACCAAAGCCTGTATATTCTCATGACTTTAACTCATAACCAGCTGCTTATATAGTGTTTCTTCCAAACAACTGAGCAAGCTCTTCAGGGCTAGGGCATGTGCCTTTGTAGCTCAGTGCCCAGGACATAATAGGAGCTTGCAGCTGTTTAATACTTAGATTCTAAGTTCTGTGTGCATGTCTTTCTTCCCCCCTTCATTTTCTTTCTGTTCCCTTCATCTCTTCTTCTGTCTGTTAAAAGGTCATTATATTTATTATCTATTCTATTATCCAGTAAAAAAAATTCATGTCCCATATTGTTAATCTAAAAGTAAATAAGTGGAATAAATAATACTTCTCCATTTCTGAAACCTACCTCATTAAATAAAATAGATTTAAATATTATATAAACTCCATTTGATTTTTCTCCCCAGCTCTAAGTACTGTTCAAAGACAAACATTTCCTCAGCTCTAGATAAAGACATAATTCTTTTTTTTTTAATAAGCTCTACACCCAACGTAGACACCCCTAAAGACATAATTCTTATCAACTAATGGAATTATCTGTTGAAGGAGTTTGAATCTAAATTATTTAAATAAATTAAACATAAATAATTTTTAGTTTTAAAGATAAAAAAATAAAATGTTTATAAAGGCTACATGTCGGGGCACCTGGGTGGCTCAGTCGTTAAGCATCTGCCTTTGGCTCAGATCATGATCTCAGGGTCCTGGGATCAAGCTCTGCATCAGGTTCTCTGCTCAGCAGGAAACCTGCTTCTCCCTCTCCCACTCCCCCTGCTTGTGTTCCCTCTCTCACTGTGTCTCTCTCTGTCAAATAAATAAAATCTTAAAAAAATATATATAAATAATAAATAAAGGCTACATGTCATCATTCACATTTCCAGCCTAGAAAACTCCTTTTTCAGAACAAATGTACTGCTGTCCAAATTTAACCAAACAGTATGTGGCCAACCCCATCCATAATCTAGTGTCTGATTTAAATAACGAAATCAAGGAAACTGCATAATCACCTGTTCACCATTCCCATCTCAGTGTGAGTTCCAGACAATGTGTCAGGTATTTTAATGTCTTGTAGTTTGAATGATTTTTCATCCTTTAAAAGAAACATAGAAATGTTCTTCAAGGGGCGCCTGGGTGGCTTAGATGGTTGAGTGTCTGCCTTTGGCTCAGGTCATGATCTCAGGATCCTGGGATCAAGCCCCACATCAGGCTCCCTGCTCAGTGGGGTCTGCTTCTCTCTCTGCCTCTCCCCTCCACTCATGCTCTCTCTTTCTCTCAAATGAATAAATAAAATCTTTAAAAAAATGTTCCTCAAGTTGAAAATCTGGATTAATAGTTGCATTATTTAACTCAAGAGCACATATAAGTAATTTGACACTAAGAAATTTTTAGATTATCTGCCATAAATATCTATATTTTAATTGATTCAGTTGCAATTACACAGAATTTTGGAATTTTTGCTTAAATCTACATTTTTAGTGTTATTTTAAAAATATTTTTCACAAGTAGAAAGTAAGTGGATTGTTGTTTAATTAATGTGGAATTTAGGGAAGTAATGGGTTGGTATTATATCATAAATATTCAATGAAGATTTTGAAAGTTAATTTTAGTATGTAACTCCCTAAAAGTTGTAACTATTCTAAAATTTCTTTAAGTTTGCAGTTCACTATTTTGTTCTATATTTATTAATAACATAATCTCATTTATGTCCTATTACTCTATACGTACATATTTTAGAAATTATGAATTATAACATGAATACAAATTGGGATTCTGTCTAATCTTTCGTTCTTTATATTCTTTGATAACCAGGTATTGATTCTGACTTTTGAAGATGGATGAAGGTGTAGAAATTTCAAGTGATGGAAATTCCCTCATCAAAGCAGTCCATCAGAGCCGGCTTCGCCTCACAAGACTCTTGCTAGAAGGTGGTGCCTACATTAATGAGAGCAATGACCGTGGGGAAACCCCTTTAATGATCGCTTGTAAGACCAAACATGTTGATCACCAGAGTGTCAGTAAAGCCAAAATGGTTAAATACCTGTTAGAAAACAACGCTGATCCCAACATACAGGACAAATCTGGGAAAACTGCTCTGATGCACGCTTGCTTAGAAAAAGCCGGTCCTGAAGTTGTTTCCTTGCTCCTAAACAGTGGAGCTGATCTCAGCTTGCAAGACCATTCTAGTTATTCGGCCCTTGTTTATGCTATAAATTCAGAGGATAGAGAAACCCTGAAAGTTCTACTTAGTGCTTGCAAGGCAAAAGGGAAAGAGGTCATTATCATAACGACAGCGAAATCACCCTCTGGTAGGCACACTACCAAACAGTACTTAAATATGCCTCCTGTAGATACAGATGGGTGTCATTCCCCAACCTCCTGTGCCACTCCTTCAGAAATAGACATAAAAACAGCCTCATTGCCACTTTCACATTCTTCTGAAACTGAAATGACACTTTTTGGCTTTAAAGGTCTGGAGCCCTCAGGAAGTAGTGATGATACACAGGACCCAGGCTCCCCTATAAGGAAGCCTGCTATGGCCTCTAATGGGCCCAAGCTACCCCAGGCTCCAACCTGGATCAAGAGTCCTCCCTTATTAATGCACCAAAACAGAGTGGCCTCCTTGCAAGAGGAGCTCCAGGATATTACTCCAGAGGAAGAATTATCCTACAAAACGAATGGGCTGGCACTTTCCAAGCGATTCATCACTAGGCACCAAAGTATTGATGTAAAAGACACTGCACATTTGCTAAGAGCCTTTGATCAGGCCAGCTCAAGAAAGATGTCATACGATGAAATAAATCATCAGTCATTTTTTTCAGAAGGAAGCCAGCAATGCATTGAAATCCCTGCTGACCCAGATCCAGACTCTAACCAGACAATCTTTGCTTCCACCTTAAGAAGTATAGTTCAGAAAAGAAACTCAGGGGCAAATCACTACAGCTCTGATTCCCAGCTCTCGGCTGGTCTTACCCCTACAACTCTAGAAGATGGCAAAGCACTTATAGGAAAGAAAAAGATCTTGCCATCTCCTTCCCTGTTGTCAGGGCCCAAAGAATTGCTGGAGAATATCTCACCAGGTCCCTTGAGCAGGAGAAATCATGCACTTTTAGAAAGGCGTGGTTCAGGAGCTTTCTTTTTAGATCACAGTATTACTCAAGCCAGATCAGGATTTCTGCCACCCTTAAATGTGAATCCTCACCCCCCCATCTCAGATCTCAATGTCAATAACAAGATTTCCAGCCTCCTTTCTTGTGGTCAAAAAGTGCTTATGCCAACAGTTCCTATGTTCCCTAAAGAATTCAAAAGTAAAAAAATGTTGTTAAGGAGACAATCATTGCAAACAGAACAAATTAAGCAATTAGTAAATTTTTAAGAAATGGCTAGAAAGCACATTTTGTTCAAATGTCTACATCAGAGAAATATAGAAACAGAGAAGAAATTTCAAATGTCCATCCTTTTAAATCTTGTAATTGGTTAGTCCATAATTGTTAGGGGTATCAAAATATACTGTGTATCGTACTAGGCACTGTGGACATACAAATAACATGTAGTTCCTACTAAGGAAATTCAAACAAAATTAAAGCTATATTTCTCAAAACTTCTAATATTTAACAACCTTCATGTGGTCCAAGTTTTTAATTTAAACAAAAATCAGTAAAAAAAGTCAAATATGTTGGAGATGACTTTAAAATTTTTTTCAGATTTCCCAGATATTTTATTAGGAAACACTGCATTCAAGTCAATAAACGTTTTTAACATTACAAGTCAATAAATAAGATTGTAATTTTCCATGATGCCAAAAGCATAAAAAAAAAAAAAAACAGAAGTGGCCTATGATCAATAAGCCTATAAGGTATAAGGTATAAGGAAAGAATGAACTAATTCTTAAAAATGTTGACTGCAAGTATATGAAATCTAATTAAAATTGTAAAAGGCCAACCATTATAGTAGACTGGGCGGCTAATATTCACGTTGTCAGCTTAATCAATGTCAAATAACAGATCAGAGTTTTACAAGCTAGTAATAATCTATGCTAAGTGTTGGTGTGTTGTTTTTTGCTTGGTTTTATTTTGTCTTTAAATTATCTCATAGAATTCTTTCTTCATATCATTTAACTCCTGTTATTATTTCTGAGATCTATCTATAGGTTCCCAAAAACAAGATAAAGCAAAAGTTTAAAGGCATTCCTCGTTACTTATATCAAATTATTCTTGTCTTTCTCACAGACAACCAAAAAAAAAAAAAAAAAAACCCGGGGCTTTATCACAAATAGAGACTATGTGCTTGCTTCATTTTAGAAAAGAAAAACTGATTATTAGATTCTCTTAGATTAGCTAAAATTAAGAAAGCCAATAGAAACTTACAGAATAGAAACAAAGTACACTAAATATTTGGTCAAGATTAAACAATAACTCTTAATTTCTAACATAATTATTAAACATTTATATCATAAGGATAATTTCCTTAGTGTGACATTCCAATCATCTAGTTATTTAGGACCTGTGAATAACTTCTAACAAAATAAATGAATACCATGTTACTATTATAAAACATTACAAAATGACTACATTATCTATATGATTTCAAAATGTGGTGTTTATATAAAGAATCCTTATTTCAACCTAGCAGTTTCACAACAAAGAATAAGTCAAATTATATAAAACTGGAGTGTACTAATCTGATGACTGTCATATACAAGTTTATATCTTTGCCTTCTATTAGTAGAGGAGATCCTAACAATTGGTATGATGCTTTTCTTGGTAATTTGATATAAGCAAGTTGTAATGTACATGGTAATTATTTAATGTTTTTGTGGCTTTTATTTGAAAAAAATAATTGGAGGTTTTTCATTTAATGTTTGAAAGAACATTAATATAAATTACATTAGAAATAGTTTTTGATTCAGAACTTAGAATTGTACCTGATGTTTATAGGTAGCTAAACCCTTTTCACAAGTTTTAATATTGAGAAAAGTGCTTGGCTTTAAGTTGCAAGGATACAGTTTGGAGGAATATGTAAATATATTAGTTCATATACAAAATACTATCAATAAAAATTTTAAATGTTATTTTGAATATCATTTTTATTTATCTCAAATAGTAATGATAAATATTTCAACATAATCTCAAGAGAAATTGTGCCACATGTTACTTTGACTAAACAGAAAACTGAGAATAATTTTTGTTGCTATTCTAATACCAACATGCAAAAAATATTTAATAGGACTAAACATTTGTTGGCCATATTTGGAAGAACTTTTAGTCTTCTCTCAATCCTGAAAAGATTTTAGGGGCTAAGGTTGCTTTAGGTTGTAAAACCATCCTACGGGACTTTTCACTCCATTAACTGGAGTATATCACTGGGCTCCCAATGGTAAGTCACATATGTTGGCACCAGGAGTCAGATATGTATATATGTGTTATATTTTAACATAAAAGTATGATTTAACTTTAATTTACAGGTATGATGACACTTCATGCATTAGTTTTACGGGTACCATTCTTTCTTACTTGTGGCTAGGATTTCCAAAGAGTGCAGCTAATACTGAGGCACAGCAAGGATAACTTGGGGAGGGTATAGGGCAGTCTGAGTCACAGACACAGTGCTGACAGTGCCCCGTTCAAGCAGTGCCCAGGGAAGGTGACGAACACCTGCCTGACATATTCTTTGGTAGAGATGCACCCATCAGTTATCCTGGGGAGGATATAGGGCAGTCCGAGTCACAGACACAAGTGCTGACAAGGCCCCGTTTAAGCAGTGCCCAGGGAAGGTGATGAACACCTGCCTGGCATATTCTTTGGTAGAGATGCACCCATCAGTTATCCGGGGAGGATATAGGGCAGTCCGAGTCACAGACACAAGTGCTGACAGTGCCCCATTCAAGCAGTGCCCAGGGTAGGTGACGAACACCTGCCTGGCATATTCTTTGGTAGAGATGCACCCATCAGTTATCCTGGGGAGGATATAGGGCAGTCCGAGTCACAGACACAGTGCTGACAGTGCCCTGTTCAAGCAGTGCCCAGGAAGGTGACGAACACCTGCCTGGCATATTCTTTGGTAGAGATGCACCCATCAGTTATCCAGTACCTGGACCTTATGCTTAGTCTGATTAAACACTATGTAGCCTTCTAGTAACTTGATTTCCGTATAGCTTGTTTAAAGGAAGGAATGAACTTGTCAGGGTGGTGACAACTGTATTAATCATGGGGGTTTTTTGTTGTTGTTTTTTTGTTTGTTTTTTTGTATTTTCTCATGCTTTGATATCTTGGGGCCTTGCTGACACTAGAGGGACCACGCCTCCCAGGGTTAGCTAATTCCTAGGGATAGAAAACAATTTGCCCCAGAATGCATCTTTCATATGCAAACCAACCAACTCAGAGTCTGTACTCCAACCATCTCCTTTATCAGGCACTCAAAGGGCTCTCAGGGCCACTACCCCCCTGTCCTGATCAACCATTGAATTTCAGTATACAGAAGACCTGTTCTGTGTTTACCTCCCATTTCATCACACAGACTATTAAAGAGTCAAAATGTTAATCTTTTTTTAAAGATTTAAAAAAAAGATTTTAAAGATTTTATTTATTTATTTGAGAGAGAGAGAGAGCATGAGCACGGGAAGGGGCAGAGGGAGAGGGAGAGGGACAAGCAGACTCCCCACTGAGCAGGGAGCCTGACACAGGACTCAATCCCAGGACCACAGGATCATGAACTGAGCCAAAGGTAGCCGCTTAACTAGCTGAGCCACCCAGGCACCCCTTTAAGAGATTATTTTTAAGTAATCTCTACACCCAACATGGGGCTCAAACTTACAACCCCCAAGACCAAGAGTCACATGCCCTACCAACTGAGCCAGGCAGGTGCCCCAAGATCTTTTTTTAAAATTTAATTTAATTTTTTAATTATTATTATGTTCAATTAGCCAGCCAGCCATCATTAGTTTTTGATGTAGTGCTCAACGATTCATTAGTTGAGCATAACACCCAGTGCTCATCACCACACGTGCCCTCCTTAATACCCATCACCCGGTTACCCCATTCCCCCAACCCCCCCTTCTGTAACCCTCAGTTTAGTTCCCAGAGTCTAGAGTCTCTCATGGTTTGTCTCCCTCTCTGATTTCTTCCCATTCAGTTTTCCCTCTCTTCCCCTATGGTCCTTCACGCTGTTCCTTATGTTCCACATATGAGTGAAACCATATGATAATTGTCTTTCTCTGCTTGACTTCTTTCACTTAGCATAATCCCCTCCAGTTCCATCCATGTCAATGTAAAAGTTGGGTATTCATCCTTTCTGATGGCTGAGTAATAGTCCATTGTATATATGAACCACATCTTCTTTATCCATTCATCTGTTGAAGAGCATCTTGGCTCCTTCCACAGTTTGGCTATTGCGGACATTGCTGCTATGAACATTGGGGTGCATGTGCCCTTCTTTTCCCTACATCTGTATCTTTGGGGTAAATACCTAGTAGTGCAATGGCTGGGTCATAGGGTAGCTCTATTTTTAACGTCTTGAGGAACATCCATTCTGTTTTTCAGAGTGGCTGTACCAGCTTGCATTCCCACCAACAGTGTAAGAGGGTGCCCCAAGATCTTAACTCAGGGATGTTAATCTTGACTCAGCATCAAAAATTAATAATTTTTGCCAAATCAGTGATGATACTTCTAAGTCTTTTTTTCCTTTTTTTTTTTTAAAGATTTTATTTATTTATTTGAGAGAGAGAGAATGAGAGACAGAGAGCACGAGAGGGAAGAGGGTCAGAGGGAGAAGCAGACTCCCTGCTGAGCAGGGAGCCCGATGCGGGACTCGATCCTGGAACTCCAGGATCATGACCTGAGCCGAAGGCAGTCGCTTAACCAACTGAGCCACCCAGGCGCCCCTTTTTTTTCCTTTTTAATGTGAGTGGTGGCAGTGAAGAATATGATTACTAGTTGATGCCATGAACTTGATTTATACTAAGGCATCACAATTTAACCTACCATTGTTTTTCCAACATCAGTGTGAATGTCAACACGAGACAGGCAAATGCTGTTATTTGTGAATAATAACAATTTCCCACAAATGGTTCTGACCTCATTAATCTCCTAAAAGCATCTCAGGGGGACTGAGGGGTTTGTGAGCCACAATGTAAGAACAACTTGTCTAAAAAATTACTGAGGTTTTGTGTCATCCATCCATCCATCCATCCATCCATCCATCCATCCATCCATCCATCCCACCATTTGTTAAGGGCCTATTCTGACCAGAAATCATATTAAAATGAATAGTTTCTTCCTCTAAAACAACACAGCTGAGAACAAAACACAAACCTGTAGAATAATTATACTCTAGCAGAGAAGGTGCCTCAGGAGAAAGTCCACAGGTCTGCCTGGGGAAGTCACAAAAGACTCCTTAAAGGAACCTTGGTTTATGGCTGACCTCAATAGGCTCTGTGAAAAGATCATGCCTTTCTACTTCAAACCAAAGGTTTTGATTAGCTCTTGAATTCACAAAGTAGCAACAGACTCTCAGTCATTATTTCAGTTAAATTTTTTGAACTCTTATTACATTCTTTCATCCCAAGGAAAGGATAAAGAAGAAAGAGGCAATGACCAGCCTTAATGAACATTCTGTAGCAGCAAGCAAACCCAAAAGAGCTCAGCCACCAGATTTAGTCAGACTGGTCCCTTTCTTGGGCAGAAACATAGAAACAAGAACCTCCCTAGAGGGCAGGAGGCTGACTGAGGCCCTTTCAAGCCCTGCCTGTTTTCTCTCTTCACTGACAGTGGGACTATGGAAATAGTTTTCTTATTTAAAATTACAGAATAATTAAAATATGTAGTAAAGTAGCAATTACTGGGGGGGGGATCTTTAAAAAACTGGTCAAATTAAATAAAAAAGAGCATCCTTCCTAATGTTAGAGTAAGAGGTAAGTGAGTTAAGGGGCAGGCAGATGGGGTTTTGAGTTTTCTTTCCAAGTGGTATAAAGGAGCAATATCAACAAATCACTGAGAAATACAGCTACACTTGGACTCTGTCCTATCCTGTTTGGGTTAGTAGCAGCACCTGACTCTCT